AAGAAAGTGGTGATGCCATCTCTCAGGATCCATCGCTCAAGCGTTTGACATTGGCTGTCTTCTACTATTCGCCATAATCTTTGTGCTCTCTTTGCCTCTGGAGGCAAAATAAGAAGAAACTCAGGATCAAAACATACAGGTCCCGATATCCATGTGTCCTTATAGAAAGGGACCATTGACCTAAACATAGGTCCTTTTAAAATGCTTTGCTAGTTCCTTGAGAATTTTTATGATACTCACCTTCAATTCCTCATCCTTATCTCCTTGCCAGCTCCCTAACCCCTTGACTTCTTGTCTCTTCGTCTTTTGATACGGTAACCCATTGACTCCAGTTAGGTTTGTCCATACACTCCTAGATGTGGGCCATCCACCAGACTGTGATCAACCCAACTAACAGGAACAACACCTTTAAAGAAAACTGTCTCTGTCTCCCTCCCTCAGATGCCATCAACTGTTGGCAGCTCCTCGGTCATGGGTGGGAACTCAAGAAACACCCCGTGTGTGCTAGAATGTTGACTGTCTGGGTCCTGTGCAGGCAGCCACACCTAGGGTTCAAAGGGCAGAGTTCTCTCGTGCTCAGCAGCCACTGCTCTGTGCTGGTCCTCCCCAGCCTCTGGCTCTCAGTCTGTCTGCCTCGTCTTCCATGACGGTCACTGAACCTTAGTGAGGAGGTGCGGCATCTGTTCTGTTCCCTCCTTCCATTTACATCCCCATTTTCCCACTTGTGTCTCCTCTTTCGGCGTTTATTACCTTATGGTAAGCACTGTCTTCTCCACAAAACTGAAAGTGACCCAGGAAAGAATAATTAAAGCCATTAGCAGTCTGTGAGAAGAGACTGGTGTGGTTTTTCTCCTGGACAGAATTATCCCATGCGTCTGAGAAATGGCTCTTAGTGGGGAGGAGAGGGCAGAGGATACATTTCACAATTTTGTTTAAGTAAGCGTTGTCAGTTAGTCATTTATTAGGTACTAAAACCCTTCAGAGAAGAAAATGTTTTAGTTGTTGGTACAAGAGTGGAGGCAAGGCCGGAACACCACATACCCTCTGGTACACCCTGAACTTAGGAAATCATTATCTACACAGTATTTAATCATTAAAACACCCCTCATCCCTTACACTGTCTTCAGTCCTAGTCTGGCTTCTAGATAGCTTGTTTACAGGACTTTGACACTCAAGAGTTGACTTTCCCTTAAAACACACACACACGATGGATTAATTTGAAACATGATTGGCTTCTCCAAGTTGACTTGTTTCCTAACTATTAAACCTATTAAACATATCCCGACTCGGGGAGATGTAGGGGTCAATGGATGCTGTTGGCTGATTTTCTGTGTGTGCAGTTGTCTTCCCCAAATCTGCAGCTTCCTGCACGCAGTGTCTAAGTCTCAGGAGTTGCTGCAAACACGACCGAGGCAAACATGGGGTTTTCTCAGAAAAGCTCTGAAACTTGGGTCTTAGTTCTTTCTTCTAAGGAAGAACTGTCATAAAACACAGCATGGTGTTTTGATTAAGGAGCCCTTTCTCAAGAATTTTTATTAAAAACAAAGCAATAATAAATGACAGGAAGAGTCAGGGAAGGACAGAGGGCTAAAGTTATGAGCCACCCATGTTCATAATGAAATGTTTGGGACTCTACCAAATTGGCATGCTTGTAAAATACCAAATACGTCCCTAGAACTGGGTGTGGTAGATCATGCCTGCAATCCGAGCACTTGGGCTGCTGAGGTAGGAGGGTTGCCACATGTTGAATATAGCCTGGGGTACATAGGGAGCTGCAGGCAGCTGGGCTACAGTGTGAGACCCTATCTGGAAAAGAAAAGCCCAAGTCCCTCATAAGGGAGGAGAAATGAAGCTGGGCTAAATCATGGCTACAATCGTCCATCAAAATGTTTTCTGTGTGCCTACTGTGCATTAGGCTTTGGATACAAAATATAAAACAAGGTAGACAAGATCTCTGCTCCTACAAGACAGTGGGGGGTATGGAGCTGTAGGCAGACAATCGAAGGCCGTGAGAAACACAAGGGGGGCAGGTGGATGGCGATGAGTGGAGGGACTCAGAAGAAGGCTGTTCAGGAAGGGGAAGGTGGTCTAACATCTCAGAGAGCACCAGAGCTGTGGTCCTGCACACGTGAGTTCAGATCCTGACTCCGCTGGCGCCACTCTGTAACCCTGGGCGATTTCTGTAATCTCTCCCTGTTTCATCAATAATGACCCTGCTGAGTGAACACTGATGAAATGCATGTCCCAAACCTGGCAGTGAGAGGCGAATGGCAGGCACCCAGTGAACGTCAGCTAACATGGTATTAATGGGGACAGCAGGCCAAGCCCAGCCAGCTACCGGGAAGAGAGGCAGGGGGTGTGTCCAGAAAGACCTGTGAATGGAAGAACCGAGTCCGAGCCCAGGATGGGGGTGCTCTGAGGAAGCTAAAGTTGAGAAGGCAAGCAGAGCCCAGTTCATTGGGTGACCCCTAGAAGTCTGTGCAGAGGAGGGTCAAACCTGAGTTGACCACCTTGGTGTGATGGCGATGTAACGGAGAGTGAAGAGACCAGGGGCAGGAGTATCAATGGTGAGGTTTTAAAAATGACTCCTTGGCTGCTGCAAGTTTTCACACACAAAAATCTATCCCGATTCAAAAAGGATCCTGGAGTCACCATTAGCTTGTCTGTTTAGCATTTCATCAACTGACTAATGGATTCGCTCACTCATTCAACAAGTATCTATTCCTGAAGCTCAGCATTTCTTCCATCTCATCCATCCATCCATCCTTCCATCCATCCTTCCATCCACCCACCCACCCATCCAATGAGCATCAATACCTGAAGTTACTATCATCTTGTCTGTTCAGTACTTCATTCATTCATTCATTCATTCAGCATCAACCCTTTAAGTTCAATACTTTTGTTTCATCCATCCATCCATCCATCCATCATTTATCCCTTCGTCAAACATCCGTACCTGCCAAGGTGATAAACTGTGCTGTGGAAAACATTAGCAATCATCACCCCGCACAGCCCGGTTCTCCAGCCATGACTGCACATGCCCTCTTGAGCTCGGGGGTCAGATGGCAGTGCCACAGAACACAAGCATCAGAAGCATCCCTAATGACATCAGCGTGCAGCTGACGACGCCCTATCCACGGAACATATGGTAACAGCCAACGCTTACTAAAGGTCCTGTCTTTGGATCTCAGGTGAATTGACATATTTACCACGACATCACGAAATCCTTATGCCCATCCTAGAGTGAGAAAAACAAGCCAAGGAGGCACATCTCCAGAGACACAGAGTTAATGCAGAAGAGCAGAGGCCTGCCCAGCGCTCTTGATCTCTGCACTGTGTGGTCTCTGCGCCTGGGGCTGTAGCTCAGTGGTAGAATGCATACCTACTATGGGCAAGGTCCCGGGTTCAACGCCCTACGTAAAAAAAGAAAACACAAGAATTCCGTGTGAGCTCTGGGAAGTGTGGGACACTGAGCTGACTGTAAAATGCGGCCAAATTCTGATGTCTAATGCATCTAAATCTCTCCAGGAGAAAGATCACTGCTGGTTCTTATATTGGAGAAACCAAACTTGGAAAGGTAACTACACCAACAATGTAGTGTTTGTGTTACCAAGAGATGTGCCCTTACAGAAGTCAAATAAGACATGAAGACTCTCATCAAATGAGTACCATCTTGAGAGTTTTGACGTTGATTTTCCCCTTTTCAGTACTGTGGTACCATATGGTAAGAATGCATCAGAAGTTACCCACCGTGACTACACTCATATTAGGTTAAAACCCAATATGGCAGTGGGAGCCGTTGGCACAGGTGAGTCTGGAGAGGTGGGCGAGCGGAAAGTGAAGTCTACGAGAAGGACGCCTGCTACCCTTGGGTTTCCTGGTAAATGACAGTGCGGGAAGAAAAGTTGATTGCCTAAATGACAAATAGGTGCACTTAGATTAAACTCGGAATCTGTACGGTTTCACCAGGCAAGCAGATCAAGTGTGGAACGCGCATGTTTAAGTCTGAAGCCCTAGGAACTATTTCCAAATTGACAGAAAGGGGAAAGAAAATCCCTCCAGACATGAAGTAACCACCTGCGCCTTGTCACGCTGCCGGATGCCAAGAGTGAGGGGGAATCCTGGGCCTGGGCTCTTCCCGGGCAGTGATAAGACTCCCAGGCCAGATGACATTTAAAAGCTAATCTCGCTCTATGTGTCTCTCCCCCACTAACCTACATTATTTTTAAAGCAGTCACAGACATTTCCACAAGACATGATAATTTATAGGCACTAACTCCCGCCCCTCGAAGAATACAAAACAGCAGTCTTAATTGCTGAGAGAGACAGAGACACACAGAGAGAATAAAAATTATGGAACTTGTAAAAAACTACCACTGCTAACGCCCAACACCCCGCAGTGAGCACAGTTTTCCAAACGTGGCCCATTCACACACACACACACATTTAAACACAGCTCACTAACAAAACATTAACCACATTTGCTTGCCAGGCGCGTTCTTCAAGACTCACTCGCCACCACCGAAAAGTAACTCTGACACCCCAGGCCGCTGGGTACACAGGCTGCCTGATGTCACCTGACCCGTCCTGCCAGGAGCTCCCTGCAGGACTTGGGGGACACCCCCATCTCCACCTGCCCTCTTGGAGGACCCTTTCCGTCCCCACTGGCAAGGAAACAAGAGTAGCATTGTCTTTGGCACTGTGCGATTTGCAAGACAGAAATGCAGGCGAGATGGGTCCCCAGCCCAGCCACCTGCCCGAGTCCGCGTCACCACAGTCCAGTGGAGATCGCCTCGAAGGCTCCCCGACAGCCAGGAGGTGTGAATAATGAGCTTGTCTGGCTAGGATCACCCACACCCTGCCACACCGCCCCGGGTCCCGCAGTGGCAAGTTAGGAATGAGCCCGCGTGGGGGGAAAGGGTCGGTTCCACGCGCGAAAGGGCTCACGCGCGTCCCCCGGCCGCGCCCCTCGCGTCGCCTGCCCGGGGCTGGCCGGTTACCTCCTTCCTGCGGCTGGGCGCCCCGGGGCGGGTGATGAGGGCGGTCTCCTCGCACACCACGGCCACGTCCTCCACGAACACGCAGTCGGGCAGGCTCTCGTCGGCGGGCAGCTGCACCACCTGCAGCCCCAGCTTGCTGCCCAGCACGTCCACGTAGAGCTGGTGCTGGCGCTCGGCGCGAGCGAAATCCACCTCTTCGCCCTGGGAGCGTCTCAGCGCGTGGCGACACAGGGACTCGGGCGGAGCCCGCACCACGGCGTGGGTGGCCCGGCCGAAGGCGGCGGGGTGACCGAGGCCGGCCATGGCTCGCACGGAGGGAAGGCGGCGGGGTTTGGCGCGGCGGCCGGGTCCTCACGAGAGCGGCGCGCTCCCAAACCTGCGAGTCTGCGAGCGAGCGAGCAGAGCGTGCGAGCGCCCGCCCGGCAGCTCCTCTTGGCAGCCGATGAATGTGCGGCTGCGGGAGCCCGGCTCGCGCCCGGAGCCCTGCCTGCGCCACTGAGCATGCTCAGAGCTCGGGGCGCCGGCCCAGCGCCCGCGCGCCTACTCCTGCGCCCCAGGCGTCTGCAACAGCCTGACCTGGGTCAGTCGGGTGCATGTGGGGACTGGCCACTTCTCAGCTCTAACTCCCTCCCTGGGCCTCGGTATGTGTAATGCCACAGCAGGTGCACACCTCACATGGTCCCCCATGGGGACCTGGAAAGTGGGCAGGCTCCACCGACCCTGCTGGAAAGGACTCGATGGTCAGGGCCCTAGGTGAGAGGTGATTGTAGATCAACTTTCCCGGTTTGTTCTTCAGCGGGTGCCTGGGCCCCAGGTTCCCAGTGTGGCCTGTCTTCGTCCATACTGCCTTGACTTTCTCCAAACTGACCACAGGCAACTCAATATTGTGCAAAGAACGTGTTTCTTCCAATCCACGAGAAAGAATAAAATCCAGGAGACAGACTCACAGATACGATACATATCTAGAAACCTCTTTTCAAAAATCAAAATGCCCCAAGACAAACAAACAAAAAAAATACCTGATAGTTCAAGCCCACAGGGCGATTGGTGTTTCTTCATCCATCTTGTTTACCAACATTCCTGCATAGCTATCTTATCTCACGCCCCTCAAGGCTGAAGGCACAGAGATAAGCCTGAGGCCTGTGACTGTGGCCTTGAACAATGTCCAGTTCCAGACTTCCCAAAATGTGCTTGCTCGAAAGTCACTGGTATAACAAACCCGTGGCCGCCATGAGTGTCAGGAACGGTGGAACTTGGGAGATGTCACCCCGATGAGCTTACAGCGCCCCCCCCTCCAAGCAGGAGCAACCGCCTTAAACAAACGAGATTGCAATAACACAACAACAACCAGGCCAGCACAGCTGAATTGTGCAAACCTCTCATCCCACGCCAACTCTTCCTCTAGGTAGTTTTTGTCAGGATCCCAAAGATGGACTTGGGGATCTCTGAAGCCCTCTACCTGTATGTCTAACCCACACTGATTAAATCTCCTTTCTCTGCCGTTCACCACCAATCTCTCGGGGACTGCTGGTTGACCATAGCTCGTAGGGACCCCCAGAGCTGGGGGCTTTTGCCCTAAAACTCAGGGAGCAAAAACTGACCCTAGAATACTTCTCCCGCTGCAAATGGTTCTGTGATTCTAACGTGTTTGTCTCCAGAGCCTACAGGGCTGGGAGTAAGAAGCCAGCGTATTGTCCCTAAGATAGAAACACACACACACACACACACACACACACACACACACTGTCACTGTAGCTTCGCAGTCAACTCCTTGACCTTGGGGAAGAGGTCGCAGATTCCTGGCAGCCTCACCCTGCCTTCGGGCACACACACTGCGGAATTCCTTGTTGGCCTTCCTTTTCTCTCTCTGGAGTCTTTCCTTTGTTTCAAAGCCTCCATTTTTTTCCACTTTCACACACCACACAGCTCTGTTCAAGGGGACGGTCCTCAAACTCGAGGCTGCACCTCTGAAACAATCTTTCACAAGACAGCATTCACCCACTTGAAGGCAATTCTGTTCTCTCTGTCATCTATCCTGACCCCAGCGCTCTTGAAGCCTGGCCCAGCAGAAAGCAGCTGCCGATGAGGTTGCAGAGCCCCTCTAACATCCTGGTAGTCTTCCTTTTGATGAATACCAGTGTGACCATAGCCCTTCTAAGGCATGGGATTCACACACAAGAGCTAGTTCTTCCTGTGTCTAAATGACAGGCCTTCTGGCAGTTTAATCCAGGGTGGGGATTTGCTCTGTTCAAGGCGACCATCTTCAAAACCAAGACTGCTCCTCTAAAAGAGGGCTACTGCCTTCTCCCCCATGTTCTGTAATATACTACTCACTTAAAGATCATATTGGTCATTGAATATTGTGTTTGGCCCAGATGCGGTGGCGTGAACCTGCAATCCGAGTACCATGTCAGGCGCTAGTCTCTGTCGATACTGCATGCGTTTCCCAGCCGAGGTCTATGCTCCAGTTGTTTTGCTAGAATTCTGATCCTAACTTTGTAGAAAGTCTGTATATCTATGATGAGTTCACCTGGGCCACCCTACAATGATTGTCCCAGCTGAGTCCAGAGTGAACGGGGGAGGGGGGGAGTTCCTTTTCTCTCCTTTCCCCAAGGATAACCTGAGTTTACAGTTGATAGAGCACCTTCCGGATTCTGGAATGAAAGGGGCTCAGTGAAGGACAATTATGCTAGTCACTAGAAGGAAGGTCTCTAAGACCTTCTAGGTTCTTCTAAATCAAAACTCTCAAGGGGATCCAGCCTGCTCTATTAGCACCAGCTTAAAAATTAGAAATCACGCAATAGTTTTTACAGGGAAGATTCCTACCAGTGTTCAAAAGGTAAAAGTTCACCCTGTGTCTAGCTTACTCAGGTTAAGACACACGGTTTTTTTTTTCTCCCCCTGCCCCTTGTGACTCTGGGTGTAACACAGAGACCATCACTGGAGACTCAACCCTTTTCTGTGCTTTCAGCATAACTGTGAACAGGGACCTATGTGTCACTCAGGGTTCGTGTTAGCCTAGCACATGATCAAAATGGGTTAAGTCTCCCCCGTAAATAGGTGTTGTCCATGTTTTCCATACTGAAATTTCATAGCTTGTTTCTTTTTTTTGCAAATCTAATTTTGTAGTTTATCCTTATGTAATGTCATTTGCTTTATTCCAACTTGTCTAAGTTTGGTTCTGTCATCTTGTACATTATTTATTGTTTCTAGTCTGTGCCACCCGAAATTTGATAATCGTGCCTTCTGTCTCCTCTCAGCACTTGTCAAGAAACATTAGAATGTGTATACTTCTGGAAAGAGTAAGAAAAATACCCAAATCCAGTAAATGATAGCTTACATGCCTCTTGCTCCAGCAATGAAAAACTGTTCTTAGGAAAATGGACTTTATTGAAGCTAATACATTTATGAGCTCATTTTCCTCATGCATATTTATGGAAAACTCTTGAGGCACAACACCACAGCACATCAGAGCAATGCAAATAGCTTAAGATGGCCTATGACCTTGAAGCGCTTGGAGAAAAAAACGAAGCTGTGCAGATCTGGAGCCAGCCCCGATGAGCACACTAGAAGGCTGTCAAGGACAAACGCCACAGGCATCTGGGGAAAGAGCTCTTGCTGTGGCCGCCAGGAGTGGAGAAAGCTTGGGGACGCCTGGACCCTGTGTAGGAGGAGTTGGGTAGTATTTTAGGATGTGAGTTATTGAAGGAGGGGAAGAGAACCCTAAGGAAAGTGTGTGCAAGGTGCCAGAGACACGGCCAAGAGGACAGTGGTGGATCAACTCAACGCTGTTGAAATGACTCTAGCTGCTGTAACAAGGCAACAGGACTGAAAGACCCCGAATTTATAGAAATAAAATATAAGCTTAAACAGGGAGGGCACCCCACTAGAGAACTCAGAAAGTAAACAAAGGGCCACATCCCAGGAACTGGCCAAACCACAAAATGGGATGTATGGTTTAGCAACCTTAATTGCAGAAGGGCTGTAAACCCACAAAAGGCCAATTCCAGGCTGCTGACCACCTGTGATGAACTGACCAGGGCTTCAGAGATGGGCAAGCAAGATTCGTGGGAAATGATGAGAAGATAACCACCATTTATTTAGGGAGAGATGATTAACTCATACCAAGGTTTGAGGAATTTACAACGTGTGGGTCAAGAAGACATCTACTTCCCCTGGTCAGTAGTCACGTACCCCACCCCCCGTCACAAGATAGGGACCCCTCCCAAAGGCTTGTGGTTTTTGTCTTTAAAAGCTGACTGTAACTGAACCTCGGGGCCAATCGGTCTAAAAGCTGACCGAGAGGCCCATCTGCAGATGCCTAATTAAAGCCTCTTGCGTGTTGTATCAATTGGCGCGTGGACTCTTGATTCTTGGAGTGACGAATCCAGCTTGGGGACCCCTCCTCAATTCGGGGTACCCCAACAGGACCACCCCATATGATGTCACGAGGTGACAGAAACTTATTTCTCGACCTCGCAGACTAACACTGGCATCCGTGGCTTGCAGCTCTTTTTTCCTAGTGGCATCCAGGATCCATCTTTCCAGCACACGGCCCCAGGTTCATGTGCTCACCTTCCTCATGGGGAAGGACATAGGGTACCGTGCATGAAAGGGACGATGGGCCAGACGTGGGAGGGACACACAGTCTCCTGGCCATATTCCTCTGGCTCACATTCACTTACCCGGCTATAACAAACGTGGAACAGCAGCCTGGGAAATAAAGTTTTGTGTGGGTCCGGAAAGAAATAACAGGCTGGGGAATTGCTAACTAATGTCTGTTTCTAGCACAGTGAAGAGAATGGAAAAACAGCCGAGCTAAATTTTCTCATAAGTGAGCAGTGGAGAGACACGTTAGAGAAAGTAAGAGGTTGGCCCTGGTGCCAGACTATGTGGGTGAAAGTGAGGAGTGGCTTCCCTTCCTGCGCCATCTTAGACATAACATCACTTCACCTCAGTTCCATCCACTTATACAATGGAAAACAGAAGGTCACTTTGAAGGTGTTATTAAGCAAAGGGCTTCAAAAGTATTTAAAACAGTACCTACAGCTCATCGGATAGATGTTCAGTAACACTCATGTGTGTTCAGGTATGTACTCATGTAGTATGAATAATAAAAACCCAGGGACAGATACTGGGGCTCAAGCTGAAGATCAGAAAAGCAAAGCAGCCAAGCCACCAGAAAGCTCTCACCTCTACCCAGGCTGGGGAGATCCTGTTCTCAGTGTGGCTAGAGACTAATTGCCCAAGACTGAATGACAGACTACTGAATGCTGCATGAGATCTTGAGCTCCTTCTTTTTTTTTTTTTTTTTTTTTTTTTTTTTGGTTTTTCGAGACAGGGTTTCTCTGTATTGTTTTGCAGGCTGTCCTGGAACTAGCTCTGTAGACCAAGCTGGCCTTGAACTCACAGAGATCCACTTGCCTCTGCCTCCCAAGTGCTGGGATTAAAGGCGTGCGCCA